TATAATAATTAATTCCATAGGAGTATTGAGGATTATTTAAAATTTGTTTATTAGAGGACTTGAGCCAATATAAAATGATGTCTTCAATTTCTCCAGCAGACAGATGCTTATCTGGATCAGAGTTCATGCATCTGAATGCTAGTTCAATATAGAATTTTGGAGTATTGTTTGAGAATTCTGGCCTTAAACCTTCACATATTTTCATAGCAAGATCTAAATCATGTGCTAAATTACTGAAAGGTTGTTGGCCAGTTGATACTACTGACATCAATACACCAAAACTATATATATCTGATGCCTCTGTATATGGTTTTTTTCTTAATACCTCTGGTGCTACATATGGCAGTACTCCATATACATTATTTTTGTTTGATGATGTTTGATTAGCTGGGATTGATAACCCAAAATCTGTAATATATGAATCGTTATAACTACTAGCTTTTTTTAGAAGAATATTACCACTATGAAAATCATGGTGAACAATTTTTAGAGAATGAATATCCCTTAACCCAGAAATAATACTATAAAGGGCCGCAGCTTTGTCTTTCCATTTTAAATTTTTAAATTCATTTGTTAAATGATGTTGAAGACTTCCATCTTTTATATATTGCATTATAAATATATATTCTCTTGTATTTGGATCTTGTGTTAAGCCATAAATTCGAATTATATTTTCTTTATCATGAAATTTAACATAATTTTTGAACTATAAAAAATAAAATAAAATAAAATTTCATCCCTAATAATGGAAAAAATTTGAAAACAATAATAATAAAATAATTTACCTCATTAAGAAATTCATCAGAAATGTTTTGTGAATTATGTAATTTTTTTAATGCAATGGTTATATCCTTACTTGATCTTTCTTGACTTACATATTCTATATACTTTTCACCGTTTATCCAAGTAGCTTTGTATATAGTTGCAAATCCACCTTCGCCTATCTTTTCAATATCTTTTAAATCATTGTAAATAACCCATTGAAGATAATTTGAATTTTCATATGTTGTTGTTTTAAGCTGTGTATCCTTAATCAACTCATCTATTGTTTCATTACCACTAGTCCATCCTTCAGTTAATAGCTTTGGGTCACATGATTGAGACCATGAAAGCCAAGTATTATATCTATTACAGGTTGGACATTCACCATATATTTCCTCTCTTTTATTTGAATATTCATCTTTATCTTTTGTGTCAAGAGAAATATCATTTTGATGTTTTATTTTTGTTTAAAATTATTTCCATCTCTTTTTTTTTAATTATATAATTGCGAGACATTTATATGCATTCAATGTAAAAAATTTTCTGCTATATATGGTTGGCTCGGTAAATTGCTATATTAATATTAATTTTTTTGAAATTTGGCCATAATCATTTTTTTCCGCAAAATCCGCAAATCGCCAAATCAATCTCTAAATAAGGATAACACGCACCCAACCCACCAATAAAATTGGATATTTTCATGATGCTGCGCAAATTTGCGATGTTTTTTGCGGAAAAATACGTTCTTGTTATCAGGCAGGTATTGGTCGGTAGATACCTATATACCTGATCTGTAGGTCAATATGTTTTTCACGTGTCCTTCAGACACGTGAAAAAAAGGATATCGCCTATAGGAAGTATAAGTATCTACCGACCAATGCCTGCCTGATAAATGATTTTACATGGCACAGCAATAGGAGGTTTTTAGGTTACATTTCGTTATAATGAGGTTTGACTGTAGTTAGTATTTTATTAATGGTAATGGACTAAACGCCTCATCTAGAGTATCTAAATCAATTTGACCAAAATCTAAATAACATTTACTATAAGAATAATAGCATATGTATAATTAAAATAATTAATATTGGGAATTGCTATTTCTCACCGGTGGTGATTGTCACCACCTAAGGAATTATACAATTTATGATTAACCACCCCAACTCTAACTCCACCCACGCAAATTTAATTCCTTAGGTGGTGACAATCACCACCGGTGAGAAATAGCAATTCTCATTAATCTACTGGTATAAACAGCATTTGGATGTATAATTCTGTAATTGTTGAAGAATCTAATTCAATATTGAATTAATTCTGCTAGTTCAATTTGTATTTATAATACTTATTTCCATATTGATGTTTATAAATCCCTTATTAGATGACCTAGGCTAAAATGAAATAATATTCAAGCAGATAGACATTTAACTGGATTAGCATCCATATATTTATAGGCTAATGCAATAAAGAACTTGGAACATTGTTTGAGAGCCCAGGATATATCTTAATTGCAAGGCAATAAATTACTAAAGGGCCGTTTACTAGTTAATAATACAGACATCAATACACCAAATATATCTGATGCCATTGTATATGGTTTATTGTTTAAAATTTCTGGTGCTAGATATGGCAGTACTCCATATATTAGCTGGAATTGATAGAAAATCTACAATATGTAACATAGTAAAATTACCACTGTGAAAATCATGAACAATTTTTTGTTCATGAATCCAGAAATAATATCATAAAGGATCATAATTTCCTTGTCCATGTTAAACTTTTAAAATCTTTTGTTAAATAATTTTGGAGACTTCCATCTTTTTATCTTTAATCAAATCATGTATTGTTTCATTGTCATAGTCCATCCTTCAGTTTCAGTTAATAGCTTTAGACCGCATGATTGACACCATGAATGATTAAGTATTATATTATTATATCTATTGGTGTTCCTCATAATATTTTTATCTTTTGAAAAAATACTCATTCACGTATTTGATTTTATTATATTTGAATCCTTGACAAAAATATCCAGATCAATTTCTATTACTATTAATTCGTAAACCAATTTATTTATAAAATTTTTAACTATTATTTTTTTATATTTCAAATACACTTTAACATACAATTTATATTATAACTAATAATAATATTATAATAAACGAATAAATGAATGGTTTATGAAATATATGTGGGAATTAATGGTTAAATAAATTAAACTAATATAATTAAAATGTGAAAAACGTAAACGCCGGCGCCTTTAAATAGTTTATATAAAGATTTTCAACTCCCGAGAAATATTAGTACAAAAAAACCTTCATATTATTGATTATCTGCGTCCAGGTTTAAAAATAAACGTTGGTCACACGATTATTACTATTACTATTACCGTTAAGGTTGCGATTGTTATCATCATAGTAATAGCCATCTTTATCTATACATCCTGGAGCATTTCTAAATAAACTGAATCTTTCAAAATTTATACTTAAATTCTTGTTAACAAGAATTTTAGGAAGTTTCGGTAATTCAATTGGTGAATCTGATATTCTACTTTTATTAAAGTCATTATCTTCTACCAATATTTTTATCTCGCTGTCATTGTCATAGTTACGACTATCAAAAACTATTGCTTCTTCATTATGATCACCTCCTTTATAATCTTCACCATACTTGTGTTCATATTCATGTTCTGATTCTTTAATTAATTCTACTCGAGATATTTTTTTACTGGCATTATCAATTAAAACTGTTGTATTTATTATATTTTGAACAACATAATCATCATCATCAACATCATCACCATGGTTATCTTCTTCGCTATTATCCTTATCAACATCTTCATCATTACTGTAATAAATACTATTTGTGTTACTTTTATCATACAAATGAGGATCAATGCTGACGGAATCAGTTCTACTATAATAAATACTTTCTTCATCACTACAAAGATAACTGGAGTGATTAGAAACATCAGATTCACCATATTCAACATATCCACTATTTCTATTATTACTATTATTATTGTTATTGTTATCAGCAATAGAATTAATTCGGAATGGCTGTAGTTGAGCTTGCCGTGGCGTTAATGGCGTTTGTGGTGGTGTTGATGAATCGAGAGTTTGAGTAACGATTTGTAAATTCCTTTGATGTGTAGAATCAGCAGCAGGAGGAATAGCGGTCGTATTTTTCCTTTGATTAATAAAGAAATTTTCATGATTATTATAATTATGGTTATTCTCATCTTCACTATAAATATAATTGTCATAAATATCATTATTTGTATAACGATTGTTTGTCGGAGTACTATCACTACTAGCAATATTACCATCGGTATTTTGGTTAAGTGTTAAAAATTTATCATTGTTGACGTTGTCGTTTTTATTAGGGCTACTAGTTAACCAAGAATTAAGTCTTGAAGGTGATGATGGTGATGTGGAAGTTAACGTTTTAAAAGAATCAGATATCGAGAAATTTTTAGGTCTTATTATGGTTGATGTTGGTGTTGACAATGACGGTGGTGAAGAAGCTAACGTTTTAAAAGAATCAGATATCGAGAAATTTTTAGGTCTTATTACGGTTGATGTTGATGTTGACGATGATGATGATGATGATGGTTCGTTATTTTGTAAAGTTGAAGGAGGCGGTGACAGCAGTAGTGTTGTTGATTGTGGCGGTGGCGACAGTGGTTTCAATGGTGGTGAATAATTATCATAAGAATTCTTTTTAAGTTTAGAAGATGTTGATTTAATATTAACGGGAGGGGATTCATTAACATCAATCTTAATCTTATTATCATTTTCATTATTATTAGTGTCATTGTCGTGATTGTGATGATCTTCTGCTTGTTCAGCATTCCCACTATAATTGCTATTATGATAATAACTATCAATATAGTTGCCTTTAGAATGACGATTGTCAATAGTATTATTATCATCGGTATAGTAATCACATAAATTAAGAACTATAGTTTGAGATGAGTTTTGAGATGATTCATAATGACTTTCGTCTATTGATAGATGATTATTATTTGCCTTGTTACTAGGTGATGTCGCTGATGAAGAGTTTAAAGATTTTATTGATACAAATGATTTTGTTTGTGTTGGTTTCAAGAATTTTGTTGAAGTTGACAATGATGGGTAGGAAAGTGGAGAAGACGAGAAAGTTTCAGATTTTGATCTTTTATTATCATCATACAGGACACGTGCCCTTGGAGCATAGGCTGTTGGCAATCTTGTAATTTCATTCATTACACTTTCGTTATTATTATTAATTGGTTGTTGTAAATGTTTTTTATTTCGAATCTTTTCTTCTTTTTCTTTTTCGATATTTTGATGATTTAATAGTTTTGATTGTTGAGAAATATTACTATTGTTGTTGTTATTGTTGTTAGCGAGAGCATTATTTTTGGTGAGAAAAAGATTATTGTTGGGAAGAACATTATTATCGTTCTTTGCGGTCTTGCTGCGGGTATTTTTTGATATTGAAGATATTGAACTATTATGACCCTGATAATTTTTATTTTTATAATTAGTACCATCATCCTTATTTTTTATATTCTTTTTATTTATTTTACCATTGCCATTACCGTTGCCACTTTTGATATTGTTGTTGCCATTTTTGATATTGTTGTTGCCATTTTTGATATTGTTGTTGTTATTTTTGATATTGTTGTTATTATTTTTGCCGTTAATTTTGTTATTTTTGATATTTTTGCCGTTAATTTTGTTATTGTAGCTATTTTTAAATTTAGCAAAAAAATTTTTAAAATTAAGATGATATTTTTTACGATAAATAATCGCCCCAATACCAACTAATAATGATAAAACTATTATTAATCCAATAACTAGAGCAAAAGATGAAACGCTATTGGTATTTTGTATTGTACTCGACATCTTACTATTTAGTTATTTAATTATTTAATTAATTATTTAAAAAATTATTATTATTTATTAATATAAAGATATTTATTGGAAGTGTGTTTAAAGGAGATGATTAAATTTAAAGAGTGGATGGTCTGTTGATTTTTATTCTAATGAGGAAGTAAGTCATTATTATGTGAAACGAAGAAGAAAAAAGGAAAAGAAAAACAGAGAGATTCTATATTAATAATTCATTATATTTGTGCAAAAAATAACAACAAGATTTTGTTATTGTTTTATTTTCTCTATTTTCCTTTCTTTTTTCTTCCTCTAAATTTAAATAAATTTGCGAGAAAAATAAAACAGAAATGAATAAAACAAAAATTTCAATTTTTTCAATTTTTATATGAATTAATTAATTAATATGCGGTGAATGAAAAATATATGAATTAAAACTATAAGATCAAGTCAAACATCTCAACGTACGATTCACGTGTGACCTTCAATTCATCATATGTTAAATTGATCTCTCATTTTATTTTTTTTTTTTTATATGCAAGTGTGATTAATGATAGAAAAAAATGTACAACCAATCAATTGATTGAATTCATTACATTATAGCTGCTGATCGACTCATTTCATTATTATTGCTAAATTCTTTGATTTCTTATGGTCGATGATAGGTTTTTCAAGACGTATCATTTTCGCAATAATAAGAAGAAGAGGAGGAGGAAGAATTATTTGAAATTGAAGTTGAAATTGACTAATACTAAAGGTTTCATATTCTTGCCGTCGGAAATGGTAACCGTGGTGTTTACATTGCAATATTGTTATTTCGATTTTGTAGTTGTGGTGTAGTATATTCATAATGATGATAAAGAATCTTCATTGGAATTTTGGATTATTATTATCGTTATCGTTATTATTTAGAGGAAGTGAAGAAGGAACCGTTTGATATTCGTAAGTTTGGACCACCATAAATAATTTATAATTTTTCATTTTCGCAAAGTTACACAATATACATAATACAAGTAACTCCCGTTATAATGACACTCCATGTGCAAGCAAAAAATGTCAGTATAACGAGATTGTCATATAAAAGTCACGTGATGATCATTATCGTAGGATTTTATAATAGTTTAATTATTTTATTAATTATTTTTGAACATAAAAATCTAAACTAATTTGTTTAGCCTCTCTAAAACTCTGACTTATTGGTTTTTTTTTTTAAATTCTTGTAAACTATCTAATAAGCGATCCTCCACTATAAACTTTGGTGTTGTATATAAGTAAGAAGGTTTATCCAACTTTTCGATGCATCGTTAGTATTAATATGAATAATATTTTCCTCCTCCTCTTCCTCCTCTTTAGTTATGTTTTATAGCTTCATCAAACCAAATTGCTAGAGTTTCTTCTAATTGTGTTGACGATTCTTTTTAAATTGAGAAAAGAACTTCTTTTTTTTGGATGAAGGTGCAGAGGTTGAAATCATTTTTAAAACAAAATTTAATTATGATTTTTAATAACTTATTGTCTAATTAACCAATTAGTCATATTAATCAACGTTTTATTTTTTCAATTTTTTCAAAAGTGATCAAATGTTTTTGATTGGTTCTCTCGTTATATTGACATGTCACTATAACAGGTGTCAGTATGACGGGATAAATTCTATAATTAAAAAATTATTTTTGACAAATTATGTCATTATACTAGTATAACAGGATAAATAGTGAGTGTCATTATAACGGGCATAAATTTGTATTTATAAATTTGATTTTTTAAAAAAATGTCATTATAACGAATGTCATTATATATACATAACCAATTCATTCACAACTATGAAAATTAAAACATCAACAAAATGCTGGGCTATTTTTTCTATGTTTTTCATGCATTTGTCATCTTATTCATCTTATAAGACATGGATGGATTGATGGATCTTTTTACCGTTTGATGATTTACTCAAAAATGTTTACGAAAAAACCTCCCTTTTTTATAAAAATTTCAATCCAATCGGGAGATTTATATTTATGTGAAATCAATTTCCTAATCTAGTTTCCACATAATTAAAAAATTTGTGGCGCAAATATTTATTATTATGTAATTTGTTTCGAAGCCAATTAGTATTACTCTACTTTTTTGGACGTGATCTATACCTTTTAAAGCAAGGAAGCTTCTGCACTGGATTTCTGTTGTTTTTGTGTAGCGTACAAAACAAAACATTAACAGTATTTTAGATCAAATAAATCATATAATATTAATTAGTAATAGTAATGATGAATTTTAGATCAACAACCTTATAAAAATTTTTACAAGTATATTCTTTGCTCAAATAAAATTTATTCCCTTTTAAATACATCACGTGGATCAATCAACCAGCTAAATAGCTTTAATTTACATCTGAAACGCTTCTCTGATTATAATAATAATAACAACATTTTGGGTAAACGTCGCCATCAACTTTCCGAAAAATCAATATAAATAAATATGATTTTAAATTTATTAATAGTTTTTTTATTTTTAGTAAACAGGATTTTATTTAAATAAACTAACTATATACATTGTGTCTTGGTAATTTGGTATATTTTTATGACGAAGGTATTAATTTCTTCGCGAGTAAATCAAATAGAAAAAAAATTGATGAATGTTTAGAAGGAATTAAGTGTCTTTAATATGTATAGGTATCGAAATAATGCCAAAATTCAAAACCTATGCTTTCAACGTACTAGTGCAGGTCTTTAATATTATTATCAACTTAACTCGTGAATAATACAATGAACGGCTATTTATAAAAGGTCACAACAAACTAATATTAAGATAGTCCTTCATATATCATTGCAAAAGATGAAATATACAAATAGAAATTAAAAAAAAAAAAATTTTTGTGGACGAGAAAAATAAAGATTAAAAGTAATTAATTCACAATTGGAAGCGTACCTTATCATATTTAGTTTTTTGCCCAGTCCACAAACATAATAAAATTTTAATCTTTATTATCGACAAAATTTGATATTTACCTTTTGATTGTAATTTTTTGTCAACAAAAATGGAAATGCCATTATAATCGTTTTGATTGTTTAACCCAAAATACTCTTTTTATTTTTAGAAAAAAATTTTTTTTTTCCTATATAAGCTATACAAATGACATTTTTTAACTTTTTAATTCCTTTTTTTTTTTAAAGAAATGAAACTTCTTAAATCTGTAAATATTAATTTGTTATTAATACCACTATTATTATTAATACTACCATTGATACGATTGAACACGACAAATGCCACATATACAACAATAACGTATCAAGAAACAGAGACAACATATCTGAAAGGTTGGGCTAAGCAATCCTATAGCAAGGAGGATGGTAGTGCCATATTACAATTTGTAAAATTGATAAATCTAAATTGCAGTCAACCACAACTTTATTTGAGAATATTGCATCCAAACGGTACAATAACGCCGTTGAATTTTGATTTTTCATTATTCTCATCACAATCAACACCAAATATTCAAGATTTTAATTTTTGCCTTACACCCTATGGTGGAACATTTGTTGATGTAGTGGCCCTGAAAAAGGATTATTTGTTGATCAGTTATTTGGATTTGTTTAACGGAGGAATGTATCAACGTAATGGTATTCTAGTTGATTGGAATAAACAAATTCTGGGGTATTTTTTGCTAATTTTTTTTTTTTAAAATTTATATAAATTAATTAATTAATCAGTTCTTTTCCTTAGAAATATTAATTTATCACCATCACATAATTCTCACATAAAAAGTGTGATCGCTATCAATAACGATCCTGATAAAGGATTTTTGTCATTGAGTGCGTTTGTGGATACAAATAATTTATTACTTTGGTCAATATTTGATTATGGCGAAAAAGAAAACCATGGAATTAGACAAATATCAAATGGGACATTTGGTGAACCAGGAATGACAATAGCTACTTATAATGCATTTAGTACATTGGATGGAAATTATGCTATAGCTTATACATTGGATAAATCAACAAATACAACGCAATCTGCTTATCCTCAATGGCAAGCAGAGGTTACATTTTTAAGAAGATCAACAACTTCCAATGATTCATATCAATTATCAGAAAAACCTTTTGTGATCTTCTCATATTTTTATCAATTAAAATTGATGGAAATCACCTCTTGTCATACTCTATATGATGGTATTGGTCATTCATGTTTTATAATTCTTCACCAAATTGACTCTGCAACTACTCCAACTACAGGTCAACAGACAATCATAAAATCTTATTGGAGAGTATCATTTCTACTTAATGGTCAAGTTATTCTTAACAAACCTTTAGATACTATACTTATGGCAGCTGCTCCTTCAACAACTACAACTTCTCCTACAAATACAACAGCAACAGGAATTAATGTGGATGTGAAATATTTTACAAAACTAAATTATGGAAATTATTTAGTCTCTACTACCATTGCTGCTGATTCAAGAAATGTAAATTTATATATTATGAATTTAAATAGTAACAGTAGTGACAACCATAGTGTTGTTGATGAGAATTTACAAAAATTAAAGGATTTGGAAAATGTTGATGTTGGTGTTACTGATATTTATGATGTTTTTCCAAATAATACTTGTTGGTTTCTAACAAATATGGGTGCTAAAAATAATTGGAGTATTGGTTTAGGTAAATGATAAATTAAAAAATGAATCATTGTTGAAAAAATTTGTAATTAATATTTTAAAACTAAATATTGTTCCTTTTTTAAAAAAAAAAATCAAGTTGATCTACCAAAATCATTGTCAAAAGGAGGTAATTAATATATATTTATTTGCAAATAAATATATATTATATAAATATTATACTTACATATAATATTCATATTCATATATATAGATAATGGTTTCCAGAATCCAACAATAGAATTTCTGGATCCACGGATTGATTCTATAATTCCAATGCAATTAAGCAATCTTATAATTGGATTTGATCAAAATATCACATTATCAAATAATAACATTTCAATATATCAAATATCAGATTCATCATCATCATCACCACCACCATCATCAACTACTACTTCAATAAAAATAGATGATCCATCATCATCGTCAAATTATTTAATATTAAAACAATCAGTAATAGGTAAATCATCATACTGTAGAGTTGGTGATGATGGAAAGAGTGTTATTGTAAAAGTGTTGAGTAGTACTTTTAATATTGCTGGGGCTAATTATATGGTAGTCATGGATAATGGATTTGTTAATAACCAGGAATCTAATGAACCAATAGCCGGGATTAAAAAAGATATATGGAGTTTCAAAACTGGCAAGTATAAAGTAATAACTATTAGAGAGATTATATGCATTTACTGTAACTAATCAATAAATACAATAATAATTTTTATTTGATTTTGCAGAGGAATTAAGAAATGATTTTGCAGGTTAGTTGATGTATTTTTTTAATAAAATAATTGTCATAACAAACTAAGTGTTAATTGATTAGTTAATTAATAGAATCTACTACCGGGCTGTTAAGATTGACAGAGGATGGCACAAATTATTTCGGGAGCCTTTCTGACACAGAGAAATCACTATTCGTTGCACAATTGCAAGTTGATTTTACAACTATTCTATCGGTTGAATCTGACAGAATTTCTAATTATAGTAAATTTCAACAAGATCCGAACATTTTTCATTCTGGAAAAAATTTATTGATATTATCATTTGATTTACATTCCACTCAAAATTATTCGCTATTAAATGTTGATACAATTGCTAGTAATTTAGACACTTTAATTAAAAATAAATGGGTCACTGCAATTTCTAATAGTAAATATGGATATTATTTAGATGATGAGTATGGATTTAAAACTGCCGGTAAGTTGAATTAATGATTGATTGGTGAATTATTTAGAGATAATTTTATTAATAATTGTTAAAAATATATATATTGTAGATACTTTGAGTAATTTATTATCAAAAAATAAATATAAACTTATTGGCATTTTAATTTTTATCATATTAACATTTATAATATATCTGATTGCTCTAAAATTGGATAAAGAACAAAAGGTAACTAATTAAATAATTTATTCACTGACTGATTGATGGAATTTCTAATTTCTAAAATTATTTACAAAAAAACTACAACAGGGAAAAAACTATTCATTTATTGTGCTGGCATTTATACTTCTTGATTTTTGTTTTGATATTATCTTCACAATTTTCAATAGTAAAGACATTTCGTTTTTATTTTTGGCAAGGTAAATAAATTATTATTATATTGCTATTATTATTATTATTATTATTAATTTCTTAACAAATCTCTCCCTCATATAGTGTAATAGTATTTTCAATATCGGGATTATTTAATTTGACCTCGGCAATTTTTATTGTGATAAAAGAACGAAAATTAAATATTAAATTTAATAAATGGTCAACCGATAATTCATTTTTACTCTGCATATCAATATTATTATCATGCATTGATATCGAGATTTTATCATTTTTAAATTCTAATTTTGCCGGCTTTACAAAACTTAGTGCTATGTTTTCAAATAATACAAAAAAATTAATATTTTGGTCAGGATTTATTAGTATATTTATTGAAGATTTGCCACATTTAGCAATTCAGGTAATCTTGTATATTTTTATATATTAACAATTAATATTAATATTAATATAAATAATATTATTATTATTAGATTATATATAAAATATCTACAATATCATGGAATTTCATACCAACATTAAATTTATTAACAAGTATAATAATATTAATAATACACTTACTTATTAAATCCTTATTTTTTATAAAACATTTCAAAAGAAATAATAGTAGTTACCTTTTGTATGAAGTTAAAGAAACTGATGATACTTATAATCAATTCAAAAATTATAGAAAAAATTTAATGTTTCGTGTTGGTAATGGTAATAGTAATGTTAAAGGTAAAAATAAGATTGTGGCAGTTGATGACTATGGTGATAATAATGATAATGGCAGTGACAATAAAAGTAATCTTATTATTGGTACTAGTCTTGATGATGATAATATTTTGGCCATTGGTAATAATAGTAATAACATTAATGGTGATAATATAGGTAGTAGTAGTATAGGTAATCTTGGTAATCCACAACTAGATGGTGATGAAAGTGGTGTGTATGATGTCCCTAATAATCAAAATAGAAAAAGTTTGAGTAGAAGTAGTTTAATTATTGGTAGAAGTGGTAAAAAGAAAAAATTATTTAAAAATTAAAAATAATCATTATTCATTTATTACATATTTATTTATTAGAAGAAAAAATATTGTTAAATAAATTAATCTTAAAATTCTAAAATAATTAATTGTTTTAATTGATCGATCTTCTGATAAATATGTTAAAATTGCTAGGATTGTTGTATGTGAAATTGAAATATTATGGAGTGGGGTGAAATTCTGATTGGCTAATTTGAATTTCACACATGTAAATTTGAATTTCACATATGTGAATTGCGAATTCATATAATTTCATTTTCATATACAACAGGATCATTAATAGATATCTTATGAAAAAGACAATAATTAAAGATGATTAGGTAGAATCATTAATCATTAAAATTAAAAGATGAAAATGATGATAATAGTAAATTAAGTTGATACCACCAGTATACATTGGTGATAACTATACCATTTATTCCTGAAGGTGATTAAAAATGAAAAGGCTATATTAAGGTCTACTATCACCTTTAACAGGAAGAAGAGGGTGTTAGTGATTAATAAGCAGAACATCATATTAATCTTCCTGACCAGGAGTAACTCCCACCAGATCTTTTTTGATAAAGAGTAAGGTTTCTGGCCCAAATTGTTTTCTCAAAGCCCAAACTAGTTTGGGCAATTTGGGCTTCTCAACATTTTTTATAAGCATGAACATTAAAAAACTATATGAATCAACTTGTTTTAACTTAAACAACTTTAAAATAATTTTGCCCAATTTCAGCTAATAACAAAAAGTAGTTTGGGCTTATAAAAAAATAAATTTTGCCCAAAGTATTTGGGCAATTTCAGCTACTAATAGAAGCAGTTTCGGCCAGAAACCTTAATTGAGAGTGTCTTGAATGACCAGCATAAATTAACTGGTGTTGATGGTTGGTGTAAGTGCAGTAGGTGTGTAAGTTTTTGAATGTAATGCATGATGGGTTGATGCACTATCTATCTTGATGCTAATTATATTGTCATTATGATTCTAGAGGATTGTACAAGCTTTAGTCTATTCATACACAAGTCTGTGAGGAATGATATTCATTAGTCATTCCAACTTCTATGTTGCTCCCTCATCTCTTTGAGGATGGCCTTTTATTAATTCCAGTGCCAGCTGTTTCAATTATGTAACTGGCAGGATAAATGAATGTGATTTTTGGACATTTAAAAGGGTGATAATATGAAGATTGGGAGGGTAAGGGTTGTGATTGTTACTACATTTGATGCAAATTAATTTTAATCTGATAATGTTTGGAAAAAACATCAGAATAATTAATGGTAATAATTCTTCAACATAATTTAGTTGCAACAATTGTTTTAAACCAGGGTACTCATTCTGACATCTGTTTTGATCAATTAGTGGAGAAATTTCATTATAACCATTAATATTAGTAGTGTGAGATTGTAAATGAGGACCGAGGAAGTCCCGAGCATGTCGATCAATCGGAACCAACTTACTGCGGCAGCCACGTGATAACGACATCACTTTCGATCTTAATAGTCGCGGGACATTGCAGATCAAGTGTCATTCAATATAAACGTTACACAAAAAAATTTATTGTTGTCCACTTCAAAAAAAAAATCTCTGTTTTTCATGTAGCAAGCGATTTTCAACCATCATAAATTTTTTAGAGCCAGTCTGGGGCTTTTAACAACAGTTAAAAGAAAAGACTAGCTTAAATATTGGTTGTTCTACGCCAGGTCGAAAGCGTTTCTTTTCTTCACACTTATTTTAAGATTATCGCTCAACTAGTATGCAGACTAAAG